CCACCCCCCCCCCCCCCCCCCCTATCTATCAGATCTCCTTCAGATCTCTATCCCTTCCTGCTCACTCAGGTCTTCATCCTCCCTCCATCTTTCTGTACCCTCTGCCCGTCTCAGCACAATGGGGTGCAGAGCCTTCAGCTGCTCTGCCCCCAAACTCTGGAACTCACTTGCACCCAATATTCGCAACATTGATTCTCTTCCCACATTCAAAACCCAGCTCAAAACTCACCTTTTCAGACTGGCTTATTCCACTTAAATATATCTCTTGTATTTATAATTTTATCTGTGGTTTTATTTATTCTTTATTTGTCTTATTGTTTGATCGTCTGTAAAGTGTCCTTGGGTGTTGTGAAAGGCGGTTCAAATAAAATGTATTATTATTATTATTATTATTTAGCTACATTATAAGTAACCGAGTCTATACTGCTGACTATGGGTCGTAGTGGGACGTTTTCTTTGTGGATTTTTGGTAGACCGTAGATTAGCGGGGTGGCCTCGCCTGGATAAAGTTTGAAATAAAGTTGCTGGTCAATTAGTTTATCTTTTTGTAACTTTTGTAGGCTTTTGACAATTTTGTTCTTGTATGTATTGGTCGGGTCGCCTTTTAGTCTTTTGTAGGTTTTCGTGTCGCTAGGCAAAGTTGCATCGTAATCTGCAGTGTTTAGTATAACTGTGCATCTGCCTTTGTCTGCTGGTAATATTGTGATGCTATCTTCTTTTTGGAGTTCTGCTAAGGCTTTCCGTTCTTCTACTGATATGTTTGAGGGTGGCGGTTTTGCTGTTTTTAGCGAGGAGGCTACACTCAGGCGAATATCATCTGCTTCTGCTTTTGATAACTTGTTATTTTTGATCGCTGTTTCTACCGCTGTGATGTAGTCTGTTTTTGGTATGTTGTTAGGTGTAACTGAAAAGTTCAGGCCTTTGGCAAGCACTGTTTTCTCTGCTTCTGATAAGTCACGATTAGATAAATTCTTAATCCATTTTTCCTCACAAGGAATTTCTTCAATTTGGTCTAATTTAGCCATGTATTTACTTGGAGTGGGTTCTTTGCGCTTAATCAAATTTTGGAACTTTTTAATTTGCCGTTTTTTGGAGATTTCATGCTGTTTTAGTTGTGAGGATTTGGTGATATTATTATATTAAATAATATTAAAGATCTTAACAAAAGAGCAGAAGAGATTCGACAAAAATTGAAACAAATGGTGTCAGAAGAGATTTTCCAAAAGATTTTAGAATTCACCAAATCCTTACTTATAATGTAGCTAAACACTTAACCTCAATATTGTCGCCACTTGTGGGCCTGAGCAAACACAATGTTGAAAACACAGGTGAATTTGTCAACAAAATTAGAGACCTAAAAGTAGAGAATGACGAAACAATCGTTTCTTTCAATGTCACAGCCCTGTTCACCTCGGTGCCCACAGCCAGGGCTGTAGAGGCTGTTAGAAGAAAACTTTTAGATGACAAAACGCTCGCTGAAAGAACTAAACTTTTGCCGGAACACATTTGTGAACTGTTAGAAATATGCCTCAACACAACCTACTTGAAATTCAGGG